TCCTCTAACATCCAAGTTGTGTCAGTCCATTGTTAACCATAGTTCAGTGGTTCACAGAGTGTAGCTTCTGAATTGGCAGCAGCAACTAGGAACTTGTTAAAAGTCCCAATTTTGGAACCTCACTCAAGACCAACTGAATCAGAAGCTCTGAGGGTGAAGTATAACAATGTATTTTAACAATCCCTTTAGCTGATTATGATCCATGATGAAGTTTGACAACCATTGCTGTAGTAGACTCTGGGATTTCAGTTCAGGAGAAAATTACTAAAATTTTTTGGCGGTACTGATAGTAACATTGGGGAACTATTTGGGATCTTACTCTTGAGTGTCTGCTCCTGCGTCCACAGTGTAACTTTATAGAAATGGCCATGGCTTGCTAAGCTAGTAAGCATTTTAAAAGGGCTTTTTCTCAGACTCTTTGATTCTTAGTAATATTTTGTAAGCATACCTCAACTTTGCTTTCTGACTTTCGTTCATTACAGAGAACCCAAACTCTAAGTGAAAGTTGTTAAATCAGAAAATATTTCCATTAATTTTGATAGAAAAAAAAATGTGTTTTGTAATTATCTAAGGTACCAAAATAATTTGAGATTGAAAAATATATATCAGTTGAACAATGAAAACAATTTTGAAAGTAAATAAAATAGTAAATAAAAATAGTCTACACCTAACCTCTAATGTAATAACAGTTTACTGTACCTGCAAAAAGAGGAAGAGAAGACTTGATAGTAAGTGGTGGCTGGTGGAGGAGGAATACAAAGGAGTCATTCTTTGGAAGATGCTGGAGAGTCAGGTGGTAGTAGTTTTAAGGTTAGAAATTTGTGGTTATCTTGCACTTAAAAATAGGTATAACACACCTGATCCAGCCACAGGGCTACAGAAAACATGGCCTATTCTCTAGGAGCCTAGAGAAGGAGTGAGATGCTCCAATAACTTACTCTATACAAAAGCAAAAACTAAGATCTTGTTGGAAGCACAAATATCAAAAGAGGGAGTGACTAGGGAAGCTTATAGACCCCTCAGTCTTCAAACTAAAGCTGAGAAAAAGAGGGGGCTCCTGACTAGAGGGCATGGTAGCATGTCCTTTCATGCCACAGAAGGAACAGAGGGGAGGAGCTCAAGACAGATGTCAAGGGACTGGGAGTCATTTTGGAGCACTTGAGAAAAAGCGGGGAGTGTCTGTGACAGAGCAGTAGGAAAAGGATCACTAGGCTCATTCCAGATATGTCCTTGGGCATCAAGGGGCTATATAAAGTGTTTGAAGAGAGCAGAGCATGTTTTAGGAAGCATAAAATCAACTGAAAAAAAATAGTCACAGCATAGAAAAATACTGTTCAGGCAAAATAAAGGTGAAATACAAGAGCATCTTTGAAACACAGAAGGAGTGCATGCACTCAACAGATGGAGAAAGTGTAAAGAATGCTCCCTCTTCAATTCTCTAGCTTGGTGTACATATGCAAAGCAAAATTTTTCTTTTTTTTTTTCTTTTTTTTTCTTTTTTTTTTTAATGTTTATTTATTTTGAGAGAGAGAGAGAGCATGAGTGGGGAAGGGTGGAGAGAGAGAGGGAGACACAAAATCAGAAGCAGGCTCCAGGCTCTGAGCTGTCAGCACAGAGCCCGACATGGGGCTCTAACTCACAGGCTGAGAGATCATGACCTGAGCCAAAGTCAGATGCTTAACCAACTGAGCCATCCATGTGCCCCCAAAGCAAAACTTTTCTGATTCATCCAAATATACCTGATTTATTAATTTGGTCTTCATAATATTCTCTGAATAGAAATGATTATATTGAGTACAGCAATAGGTGTGTTTATAAAATATCACTTTTGTTGTATTTTGGGTAGGTCTTTGATTTTATTTTTTGAATTATAGTAAAAAAAAAAAGGCAGAGAAGAAAGAGTCATGATCCAAAAAAGTGGCTTGATTTTCAAGATACATTATGATTATAATAAAAAGCCACCTAACAGTCATTATGTGAGGCATGTCTATAATGAGAAATGGCATATTTAAGAACAAGTATAACCAAAAACTGTGCTTTAAAATTAGAACTCTTGTCTTTGGTTGCCAGTTGATCTCCAGGAAACCTGTAAATGAAGTCGTTTTTGTTTTGTTTTTTAATGTTTGTTTATTTTTGAAAGAGCATGAACGGGAGAGGGGCAAGGAGAGAGGGTGACAGAGGATTCAAAGAGGGCTCTGCTGACTGCAGAGAGCCTGATGCAGGGCTCAGATTCACAAACCATGAGATCATGAGCTGAGCTGAAGTCAGACTGACTCAGTCAGACTGACTGAGCTACTCAGGTGCCCCAGAAGTAGTTTTTAACTATAAATTTTGTAGGCTTTCTAATTTCTTTCATGTAGCCTTTTTATGTCCCAGTGTTTTAGTCCATTTGGTCTATAGCCTTGCCTCTTCCTATTTGTATTCATACTTTGTTCTTTTTCTTTCTTGAGTCTGAAGGTAGAGCAAGAAAGGAATCATATTGTCTGTAGATTTGGGGGGGATTTTTTTGTTGCTGTTGTTATTTTTGGTTTAGAAAGTTAGGAGGTAAAGATGTCTATTTTACTAGATATGTAGAACTCCAAATTCACATATATAATATTTTATAATACCTTATTAATTATGTGTTTCTTAAACAGGAATGTAGATGAGTTCTCTCTTGAAAAAAGTTATGTGGGTGCAAAGATTATCTGACTTCACCCCCAGAAATATACCACATATGAAACAGTATGTAGAATTGGTTTTGTTTTGTTTTTTTTGTTTTGTTTTTTATCTTGGATATGAAAGATCAGAAATTAGAGAAAAATTGCCTTGTTTTTTGTATTTTTATAATGGGCACATTACACTTGTCCCCACTGCCCAAACTTATGTTCATTTTTAAAACAAAATGCTTTGGGGTGTCTGGATGTCTCAGTCCATTGGCTAAGCATCTGACTCTTGGTTTCAGCTCAGATCATGATCTCACGGTTCATAAATTTGAGCCCTACATCAGGCTCTGTGCTGTCTGCTTGGGATTCTTTCTCTCCCTCTCTCTCTGCCCCTCCCCTGCTCACTCACTCTCTCAAAATAAATAAATAAACTTCAAAAAAGTTTTTTAAGTGCTTTAATGATGATAGTAAGACATTAAATGAAAGTCCTTTCTAGTCATCAGGGATGGCAGGTAGAATTGACATTATTATCAAATTTTTTTCAGCTGTCAAGTTAATTTCCTTCCCACCTCCATCTAGAGAAAATAGTACAGTTGACCCTTGAACAACGTGGGGGTTATGGGCGCCAACCCCCTGCACAGTCAAAAAAAATTCTGTGTATATGGGGCACCTGGGTGGCTCAGTTGGTGAAGCGTCCGAGCTCAGTTCAGGGTCATGATCTCACGGCTTGTGGGTTTGAGCCCCACGTCGGACTTTGTGCTGACAGCTCAGAGCCTAGAGCCTGCTTTGGATTCTGTGTCTCCCTCTCTCTCTGCCCCTCCCTGTTTGTGTTCTGTCTCTCAAAAATAAATAAATGTTAAAAAAACCTTTTTATTTAATTCTGTGTATAATTTCTGACTCTCCAGAAATTTAACTTACTAAGAGCCTACTGTTGACCAGAAGCCTTACAAATAACATCAACAGTCGATTAACGCATATTTTGTATGTTATATATTATTGGATTTATACTTTTACAATAAAGTAAGCCAGAGAAAAGTGTTAAAATCACAAGGAAGAGAAAATACATTTATAGTACTATACTGTATTTATTGAAAAAGATCCATGTATAAGTGGACCTGTGCAGTTCAGATCCATGTTGTTCAAGGGTCAACTGTACATTTAAAGTTGACATTGCCATAGCTGTACTACTAGGATGTACCTGAGAAGGTACACACAGCTTGGGATTCCTGCCAAGATCATAATGCTTGACCCATGAATAGCCTCTTTTTAAAGAGTTAAAGTCTGATGCTAGGTTAATACAAACTTTGTAAAATCTTACATCAGTCCTAGTTGGTGCTGTTGTTTTTATAAAATGCAACAGGTACAGAAATGGTCAGTAGTAAAATAGTTATACCTACTTGTTCCACATATAAGACATGAGCTTGAGAGACCCAGACCTGCAGTTTGTGGAGAAGAAAGCTAGACATTGAATTTTGAGAGATGAACAGTGGTTCTTAAATTTAGCAATGACAGGAATAATTATTTTTCAAAAAATGCAAGATAGATAATATGTACTTTGGGTCCATCAGCTATGATTCAGACTAATTGCCTTCTATCCTGGTATTATATGTAGTCTGATGTTAAAAATCTGTTGAGAACAAAGCTATATAAAACTTGACCGATTCACTCTGGCCCTGTACAACTAATTCAGTCTCTCTAGCCTTCAATTTCCATATCTGTAAGTGAAAGAAGTGCAGCAAATATAAGGTCTCTTTCTTTTTTTTTTTTAATTTTTTTTTGAATGTTTATTTTCGAGAGAGGGAGAGAGAGAGACAAAGCACAAGTGGGGGAGGGACAGAGAGAGAAGGAGACACAGAATCGGAAGCAGGCTCCAGGCTCTGAGCCGTCAGCACAGAGCCCGACGTGGGGCTTGAACTCACCAGCCGTTGAGATCATGACCTGAGCCGAAGCCACCTAGGTGCCCCTAAGGTCTCTTTCACTTCTAACATTCTGTGACTTAAAAAATTAAAAATCGAGGCGCCTGGTGGCTCAGTCGGTTGAGCGTCCGACTTCGGCTCAGGTCATGATCTCAACAGCTGGTGAGTTCGAGCCCCGCGTCGGGCTCTGTGCTGACGGCTCACAGCCTGGAGCCTGCTTCCGATTCTGTGTCTCCTTCTCTCTCTGCCCCTCCCCCACTTGTGCTCTGTCTCTCTGTCTCTCAAAAATAAATAAATGTAAAAAAAAAAAAATGTTTTTTAAAGTAAAAATCTTTTCTAGCCAGAACCTGACTGCTATTACATACATTGGTAGAGAAGTATTCTGTTTTAAATCATTTAAGCCAAATAATGACTTTTCATACTCATTCTTGTTTTTCAGAAACTCTGTGAAGGTATATTTAAAGTCCTTGTAAAGGACATCCCAACAACATGTCAAGTGTCTTGCCTGGAAGTTCTCCGCATTCTCTCCAGAGACAAAAAGGTTTTAGTTCCTGTAACAACCAAGGAAAATATGCAGATACTGCTGCGACTAGCCAAGCTAAATGAGTCGGATGATTCTTTGGAGAAGGTGTCCGAGTTCCCAGTTATTGTGGAGTCATTAAAATGTCTGTGTAACATAGTGTTCAACAGTCAGATGGCACAGCAGCTCAGCCTGGAACTTAACCTTGCTGCAAAGCTCTGTAACCTCCTGAGAAAGTGCAAGGACCGAAAGTTTATCAGTGACATTAAATGCTTTGACTTGCGCTTGCTCTTCCTCCTGTCACTTTTGCACACCGACATCAGGTCACAATTGCGCTATGAGCTTCAGGGACTAGCGCTGCTAACCCAGATCTTGGAAAGTGCCTTTAGCATCAAGTGGACCGATGAGTATGAATCGGCCATAGACCGTAATGGACCTCCTCTCTCACCTCAGGAGACAGACTGTGCCATCGAGGCCCTCAAAGCTCTCTTCAATGTGACAGTAGACAGTTGGAAGGCACATAAAGAGGTAAGGTTGAGAAGAATATTCTTATCTACCTATTATTTAATTAGTCCGGGGCATCCCTAGAGCTGCCTGTAAGGTTTTAGTTGACATTTGTGTAACACTTACTAGAAAAATAGGATGAAGATGAAAAAACAAATATTTTATTTTATTTGTTTTTTATAGATTTAAAAAAATTTAATTCCAATATAGTTAATATGGATTATTATTTTGTAAGATGCCAAATATAGTTCCTTTTCTGAGTTGTACCATCACATGTCTTTTTTTTTAATGCCTTTTTGAGGAATAAGGTTTAAATGATAATATTTGAAGGGAAATAAAACAATGTGGTTCATAAAGTTACAGGCATTTATGATGACTGACATCTTAAAGAAAAGATAAGATAATCAGGCCAGTTAAAACTGATCAATCAGAATTGATGTCTGCTCAGTAGAGTAAAAGATGCTGTATCACCTATCATCCCAGTCTCCTAGAGTGTTATAGTATTAGATAACTATCAGAAATGTAGGACTACAACTAGATATCCAGGCTGGTACACAGTCCTAGAAAACAAATGTAATTACACTAATGTGTGAGAAAGGTTTTTTTCTAGACTAAGATCCTTTTCTGTGGCTTGGACCATACAGCAGCCCAAAAGTGAGGCAGATTTGATAGTTTATATCTAAGTACCCACAAGAACAATATGCTAAACAAGAAAGTTAGTTTAAGGAAGAAGACAATTGTAAATGAAGTAGACAAACTTTTTTCCTTGCTTCTAGAATCTCAACATTTCACGTTTACCCTATTTAACCTTAAATAATGAGTGAAATTGAGCCCCTGCTTTAAAAAGAAAGAAAAGAAAAGAAGAAAGAAATGCAGTATGTTGGTGCCAGAGCAAATTATCTTTTCTGACAATTGACTTTAGGACCTAGGGCTAACATTTTGCTGTGTCCATTTGAAACAGTTCTCACCATGAATACCGATCTGTTTTTGCCAGCAACCTACTTTGAGAAGATTATCTCAGTGCAGTGCTATAGTGGGAGAATGCAGGCATCTGAGTTTTAAAGTGCAAATAGGTCTATATTTTGAAACCAAATATTTGAAGATCAGTCCTAACAGCTGTTTTAGATGACTGTAGTATGGTCAGTTTTTCCTGAAACTTGGCAGGAAAACATGTGGAAAGCCCACATGCTCCATTTATGCTTTGAAACCAAATGTTTGGAAGTATTTAAAATATTATGTCTCTATGCTTATTTGGTACCTTCTATGGTTATTTTTCTTACGCTGTTTGTTTTGGTGTTTTTAAGTTCTCCATTTAGTTGCAAGAGCTCTTCTGAGACTGTTGGTTTTTCATTGTTGGGAGGCCCTGTTATTTAAATTGTGCCCAAAATAGTAGTTCACACTGTTCAGATTCCCAACAAAAGGGTGTATAAGTCAATGACTGCTTATCAGTATATGTATGGAATGACATGTAACATGTATCAGTAAATTGAGATTAGCCCTCATGAGTGTGCTTCAGTTAGAAGCAGTAGTGGGGCTGGAAGAAGCCTTAGAAGATTTTGAAGCAGCAAATACTCATTCTGTGGCATAGAAAGTTTATTTTCCGAAAGATACATGAGAAAGGATCAGTAGTCCTGAAGCAGGCTTCTTAGCAGATGAAGGGCTTCTTGTGAGTTGTGGTTCAGTAGATGAAGCTGTTATAAAATGTGCCCAGTTAATGTTAGTCTGGGCTATTACTGAAGTTATCAGAAATTTAAACAGTAGTGAAAGTAGGATCTTGGCAACCCATTTAGGCAGGAGTGTGGGAAAGGTTATTTTTAAACCAGTTGAATCTCTGTGGGTCTCCAAATTCAAATTTTAGCAAACATTTAGTCAATCATTCAGTTAGTCAATAAATATTTATGGCCAGTTACAGGGTATCATGCTGGCATGTGTAATATGTTGGCAAATAATAGACCTAGTCTCTGCCTTCAGTTTTGTTGGTGAGACAGGTAGTAAGTAAACAAATATATAATTCAAATTGTGTTAAGTGCTAGGAGAGAAACAGTGCATTCATGATTGAAAATACTTAGCACAGAGAAGACCATGAAGGTGTCTCCTGAGATAGGAAGACTGAGAATGATAAAGCTGTTTGAAGATTGGGGAGATGGATGTTTCCCTGAAATCAGAACATAGAGTACCTTTTAGGGAGGTACCCACAACTTAGTATAAAGAAAGTCTATAGGGGCGCCTGGGTGGCGCAGTCGGTTAAGCGTCCGACTTCAGCCAGGTCACGATCTCGCGGTGCGTGAGTTCGAGCCCCGCGTCGGGCTCTGGGCTGATGGCTCAGAGCCTGGAGCCTGTTTCCGATTCTGTGTCTCCCTCTCTCTCTGCCCCTCCCCCGTTCATGCTCTGTCTCTCTCTGTCCCAAAAATAAATAAACGTTGAAAAAAAAAAAAAATTAAAAAAAAAAAAAAAAAGAAAGTCTATAATAAAGTTGCAGAGAAACTTGCCAATAAGAGTCCATTTACTTAGATTTTTTTTTAAAGTTTATTTATTTATTTTGAGAGATATGTGGGGGAGGGGCAGAGAGAGAGGGAGAGAGAATCCCAAGCAGACTCTGCACTGTCAGCACAGAGCCTGACACGAGGCTTGATCTGTGAGGTCGTGACCTGAGCTGAGATCAAAAGTTGGACACTTAACCGACTGAGCAACCCAGGTGCCCCCATTTACTTGCATTTTAATAATTCCTTGATTGTCAGATGCATGGCATCTTTCTCCAGTTGAGCAAGCACCTAAAGAATTGTTAGTACCTTAAATACCAACTGAAATAAAGGGATAATAAAAACTTACTTCTTACAGAAGAATCCAATTTTAAAATACAGTGTTAAAAATAACTAATATTATTTTCTTTTAATCAAAATGCATGCTCATTGTAGTAGATCTAGAGGAAAATTGCATATGAGCACTAAGTACAAATCACCTATAAGCTTACCACTCAAAGATAAGCACTGTTTGTGTTTTAACGTATATCTTTCTAACTATTCTTCATTGTAGAATATATAAATATAAACATGTATAATTTCTTTTTACAAAAATGCAGTAATTTTATAATCTTTTTTTCCTCAGTAAATGTTCTTGAAGAGTAGTAGTTTTCAAAATGTTCCCTGAAGCCGTAAAGTTCCTAGGGGTAGCCTCTGGTGATGAGTGGACAGTGTTCCAGGTTCCCCACCCTCACTTTCAAAAGAGTATCTTTGATTGTTGCTGTTGTTTTTTTCTATTTATATTTAGGCTGAAGGGCACCTGGGTGGCACAGTTGGTTGAGCACTCAGGTTATGATCCCAGGGTTGTGAGATCAAGCCCCACGCTCAGTGTGGAGCCTGCTTAGGATTCTCTCTCTCTCTTTCTCTCTTTTTCTCTCTCTCTCTCTCCCTCTCTCTCTCTCCCTCCCTCCCTCTGCTCCTCTTCCCCACTCGTGCTGTCTCTCTCTCTCTCTCTAAATAAAATGAAAAAAATTAAAAACAATTTTTTAAAATAAATTTAGGTTATAACTGGATATCATTTGGGGATAAAAAGAGTTCTGCAACCAAAAAATAATGTACCAGTTTATTTTCCTGTTAAAGATTGATAAATCCTTATGAAGGAATACCCTTCATAAGTAATTTTATATTTAATAGGTATATTTATACTTGAGTATTCCTTCATAAGGATTTATCAACCTTTAACAAATTCCCTATGTGTAGGCATTTAGATTGTTTGCAGTTGTTTACTATTGTAAATAGTAACACAGTGAATTTTCTTATTGTAAAATTTTGTAGATAAATTCCTAAAATTGTTGGGTCAAAGGATTTTTTTTTTAAAACCCTAAGGGTTGTTAATATGTATTGTCAAATTGACCTTCAGAAGATTAGTGCTAGTTAATACCTTTCCAAACCCTGGGGATTGCACCTTTAAAGATCTTTATGACCACAGCTCAACCGTTAGAGAAAATACAGATGTTTGGTTTTGGTTTTAACTGTTTCAGTAGGTATTTCTATCACTGTTCACTTACAATTCATTAAAAACAGAAAATTAATGACTAGGTTTTTCTTGAGGTTTAGCAGATTAGTGCCATTTGTTCATTTTAGGTTCATGTGTTAAATTCCTGCCTGCCTGCCTGCCTGCCTGCCTGCTGATACCATCAGGAATCTGAAGATTCCTTTCTATTCAGTAGTTGGCCTTATTTCCACACGGTGTCCATCTGTCTTCCTCACTTCCTTCCTCTTTCCCTCCCTTTCTCATTCTCTCCCTTTCCTAAAGATAGTATGTTTAAGAGGTCAAAAGACTCCTTTAGCAGGACCTGAAGTCAGTTCTAGAAAAGTTAAATGAAATGGTCTTGTCTTCCTCCTGTTTTAACACTTTTGCTAAATCTCTTTGTTGGAGGAAAGCATGTTATTCTGGAAATCCCTTACTTAGCACACTTTCCCTCTGCACTGCTTCCCAGGTCATCAGTGCAATGTAATGAGAAAACATAAGGACCAACAAACATGTTAGAGCCAGACACCCAAGTGCAAGCAGGGAAGTAGTACCACTATCTGTGTGGTCAAAGGATGTATTAGAGTGACAGAAAACAGTGAATGTCCATAGAAGTTAATTGGGAATGTCACACTGTCATAGAAGAGGTTAGTTCCATGATTATTTAAGAGACTTTAAAGGAAATATGGGAAAAGGACATAATATTAATTTAAAAAGCTTCAAGCTGTGTCATGCTTGTTTGTTTGTTTTGGGTTTTGTTTTTGTTTTTTTTTTTTTTTTTTTT